GCCCCCGGGTCCTATCGCCCCTCTAGTCAGTGTCCATGCACCTCTGTCGAAGGCGGAGTCAAGTCTATTTGTCACGTCGTTCCGAGGTTGAGTTCTGCGCTGGCGACGGGCCCCATGGCTCATTGCGCTCGCGCATGCGATGCCGCCCCCGAAAATATCAATAACCAAATCGCATTCGATTCCAATGGGCGGGCAATTCGCGTCGTGGGGAGTCAGGCCCGCGTCGAATTATTCTTATTGTGTGATTCGTGTTTTTTTTTGTTTCCCCCTCTCTCTCTCTCTCTCTCTCTCTCTCTCTCTCTCTCTCTCTCTCTCTCTCTCTCTCTCTCTCTCTCTCTCTCTCTCTCTCTCTCTCTCTCTCTTTTCTCTCTCTCTTCCTTTCTTCTCTTTTTCTCTCTCTCTCTCTCTCTCTCTCTCTCTCTCTCTCTCTCTCTCTCTCACTCTCTCCTCTCTCTCTCATCCTCCCCCTCATCCCCTCTCTCCTCTCTTTCCTCTCATACTCTCTCCTCTCTCCTCTCCCTCTCTCCTTCGTCCTCTCTCTCTCTCTCTCTCTCTCTCAATCACTTTCACTCCCTCTCTCTCTCGTTTGTTACTTCTCTCTCTCTATTCCTCTCTTTTGTTTTTTTTTGTTTCCCCATCTCTCTCAATCTCTCTCTCTCTCCTCTCTCTCTCTCTAGCTCTCTCCCCTCTCTTCTCTCTCCTCATCTCCTCTCTCCTCTCTCCTCTCTCCTCTCGCCTCTCTCTCTCTCAACTCTCTCTCTCATCTCTCTCTTCTCTCTCTCATCTCTCTCCTTCTCTCACCTCTCTCTCTCTCTCTTGTTTACCCCTCACTCTCATCTCTCCCTCTCTTTTTTTTTCTCATCTCTCTCTCTCTCTCTCTCCTCTATTTCCTCTTTCTCTTTCTCCTTTCCTCTTTCCGCTTTCTCTTTCCTGCTTCTCTTCCATCCTCTCTCTCTTTTTTTTTCTCTCTCTCTCCTCTCTCTCTCTCTCTCTCTCTCCTCTCTCTCTCCTCTCCTCTCTCTCTCTCTCTCTCTCTCTCTCTCTCTTTCTATATAAATATATAAGTCTCATTTCTCTCTCTCTCTCTCTCTCTCTCTCTCTCTTTGCCTCACTCTGTCTTTCTTTCTCTTTCGCTGATTCTCTTTCGCTTTCTCGTTCTCTCTCTCTCTTTTTTTTTTCTCCGCTCTCTCATCTGCTCTCTCTCTCTCGCCCTCCTCTCTCTCTCTCTTCTCCATCTCTCTCTCTCTCCCTCTCTTCTCTCCTCTTTCGTATATTATATATATGTCTCTCTCTTTGCTTCTCTTCTCTCTATTTATCTCATCTTCTCTCTCTTCTTTCTCTCTTCTCTCTCTCTCCTCTCTCTTATCTCTCCTCTCTCTCTCTCTCTCTCTCTCTCTCTCTCTCCCTCTCTCTCTCTCTCTCTCTCCCATCCACACTCCCGCGCGCAGGTTCCGCGCGCCGTTGAACTGCCCCGGGCGTCGCGCGAGCCCCATCTACGCCCCCTGCGCCGTGCGTTCGCGCGCCCGGCCCTCTGCGCGCGCCACGTCTACGGCAGTGCAACTATTCGCCCGCGCCGCAAGCGGCCCGTCATCTCTGCCGAGGCCGCCCGCGCTGACGCTGCGTGCGCGGGTCTGTTCGACGGCGAACGCGTCGGTGCCGTCGCAGTCCCCGCGCGCCAGGCTGCCTGACTTTTTCCGTCGCTCTCCCGCGCGCCGTTGCAGCTCGCGCCGAATCGTTCCCCCGGCATCTCTCGGCATCTCCTGGCGAATCTTCCTGGCGCCCAGCAAGGGCCCGTCGGCGCCTGCCCGCTTGCGCGCGCCCCTGCGCGCCGGGCCAAGCCCATCCAGCAGCGCGCGCGCGTCGCCGTCTTCCCGCCGGCGCCATGTTCCCCGCTGCGAACGGCAGGGGAGAGATATTTGCCAGGCGCGAACTCTGCTTTCCTGCAATGGGTTGGAATATCGCCTGACGCGGTCTGAAACCGAACAGCCCCCCCAGCTGGGCCCCCGTTGAAGGGCGCGACGCCGCGGGCCGCAAGCGCGCCGCCGTCGCTGGCGCCGCCCTTATCCATTTTTGTTTGGGGGGGAAGGGCAGATGCTGCCCAGTCCGCCCAATCATGTTTTTATACGTGAAGGCTCTCTCCCTGTTCTGTATCTGAGTCAGGTTCCGTGCTCGGCCGCTTCCTCTTCGCCCTCCTGCCCCGCTGCTCTGGTCGTCATCCCTTCGATATTTCTGCTCGAGTGCCTCTGGGTGCGGCGGTCGGGGCTGGGGCCCCCCCTCACTGGTGCTTGCGCGCGCGCCCATCCATGATGCTTTCAGACGCGCCCCCCCAATGGGGCGGGGTCTTCTCTCGGCCGATGTCCTGCAACCCTTGCGATGTTCTCTGTCTGGCACCCGCTGCCCTGAAATCTGCGTCCACGGGCAACTGCGTCCTCTTTTTCGCCGGTTCTCGATGGTACTCCTGGCGCTGCGTCAAATTCCGCTAATCCTTCCTCGCGTGGATGCTTTCCGCGAGTTCAGCTTTCAAGTCTTCGCTTCCCCGCCGGGTCCCAGGAGGAGAGATGGAAACTCTGTTTGGGTCCCCTTCCGTTTCTTTGACATCCCACTCTTGGTCGGCGCACGTCGCTACCTTCGCGCGCCTGCCAACTTGCTTCCGCCGGCGTCGCTCTCCCTGCCTTTTCCGCAACATGTTTTTTTGTTTTTTGCTGCTGGAATGTCTGCCAAATCTTCGCAAACTCCATCCAGATCCTGCTGCGCCCGCGCATGCCATTGCCCCTCTCAGCCCAATTCTGCCCTCCACCAGTCTGCGCAGTTGCCCTTCCAAGGCGCCCGCCGCTGGGCCTTCGCGTTTCTTCGTCGGGGGGGGGGGTATCCTGCGCGGCTACTCTCACTGCCTCCCGCAATTACTTCCGAGCGTTATCAGGCGTTGCTCGGAGAAGCTGCCCCCGTGCCCCAGTTCCCGCTCCCGAGACCTTCTCTTCGAGTCTGTGAAAGAATTTGCTGCGCATCTTGCCGTTTTTGATGAACTCCATGAGGGCGTCTCTGTCTGCCCCCCCTCCGCGCTCCTAGCGCGCCTGGGTTTCGGAAATCCTTGCTTCGGACCTCTACCATTCCCACGTGGATATGGCATCGGTTTCCTCGTCTTTCGATGTCCTGCAAGATCTTTAGCAACGCTCCTGAGGGCGGGGCGTATCCTGGCAATGTGTACGGATACTACCAGTACTACCACGCGGCCGATGCTGGTTTCTATGCCCGTCGCGCTGTAGTACGTCGGTCCAAAGTCGCTGTGCGTCGTCGAAACCGCAAGGTTCACTCTGCTTGCAAAACTGCCCAACTGACTTCCCATTTTCGTTTCTCGGTCTTTAACCCAAGGTCCACACGTATCGGGTCGACAGCTGTTCATGCCTTGTCTCCGCCTCTGTGTACTCTCCCATTCGCTGGTGCTGATTATTCTCTATTGCCGTAAACCAGCATGCCACGCCGTCTAAACATCTTTCCAACCAGTATCATATGTCCTGTTCGCTGTTGTAGTAGGTTTGGGGCAAGCGCGCCGCAAATGTCGTCGCAACAAATTCTTTGATGGTCCGTATGGTACCTGCACTCCTTCCGTGCGGCCTTCCAGGTGGTACGCATATGTGTATGATGGGGCTTGACAAAGTATGGAACCAAGCAAAGAATATGACTCCGCAAGCTTTAGATATCCACATTCCTGTCATCCCCAAGCTGAACATCCCCAGCTGTGTCCCACTTCGTCATCTGTGCCGGTCCTGGCCCGACCTATGTGTGTACCTGTCAAAACCACCGCGTCCCATCCTCGCAGTATTTGGTTCATCCCCCCCACCCGTTCGAAAAAAACTTGTTGCCAGAGGGCTGTCGCATGCAACCTTCGTAATCGTTGAGAGGAAAGCAATTCATATACCTATTGCCATCTGGTGTTATTTTGTGTCCCCACTGGCCAGTGCGACCAGCCGGGCTGGACTCTGATGAAGATCTGTTCCCTGCATTCCTTCATTGTCGGCTTTGTGGTCTCGAAAGCCATCGGCTCCTAGGAGGAAGAGGAGGAAAAGGAGGAGGAGGAAAAGGAGGAGGAAGAGGAGGAGTAGGAGAAGGAACAGGAAGAGGAGGGCGGAGGAGGAGCATAAAGAGGAGGAGGGGGGGAGAAGGAGGAGGAAAAGGAGGGGGAGGAGGAAACAGAGGAGTGAGAGAAGGAGTCGCAGGAGGAGGGGAGGAGGAGGGGGATGAGGAGGAAGAAGGGCAGGAGGGGGAGGGGAAAGAGGAGGAGGAGGAGGAGGAGGAGAAGGAGGAGAAAGAAGAGGCGGAGGATGATGATGATGATGATGAGGAGGAGGCGGAGGAAAAGTAGAAAGAGGAGGAAAAGGAAAAGGAGGAGGCGGAGGAGGAAAAGGAGGAGGAGGGCGAGGAGGAAAAACAGCAGAAAGAGGAAGAGGTCCGGTCCGGTCCGACACACTCGAAGTCAGCAAGCCGATCGATATGTAGAGGAATATGCAGTGCCGCGATAAAGTATCGCCAATCAAAGCTTGCCAACGTGAGCGACGCGACCCGTTATGTAGACAGGTCAAAGCCCCACACCAGCAGCGGGACGCACCGACGTGGCGTCTCCGCTGGGCCTGGGTCGCGGCAGTGCTGAATCTGCCCCAGCTGGCCGCCCTCACAAGACATCGCGCGTCAAAGGAAGAAGGGGGCGGAGTGAAGCAGGGGCAGGACAGCGCCGCACCGTGAGCACGCTCGCTGCATTCGTCGACAAGGGCGTACAACTGGCGAGCATAGAATTGCGCCAGCATGCGATCACCAAGTGTGCGTTGCGACACTTCGGCCGCATTTCAAATGCCCGCCGAGCACGGGAACTAAATTCTGGCGGGGCATTCGTCAGCAGGCGGCCGCCGTTACGACAAGATCCTGTGTTTTTTCCAGCCCAGAGGAAGGAGAGGAGGAGGAGGAGGAGGAGGAGGAGGAGGCAAGGGGGAAAGCAATGCGCCGCCGGGTCACTCCTTCATCCGCTTAATGCGGGCCTGCAGCTTCCGCTCCCGCCTCGACGCTGGCGCTGACCCCAACACCTCCTCGCCCCCGGCCTGCATCCACACGCGAACGATGATCTCCACCACTGCCTTGACCAAGGGATCCCCCCCCTCCACGAGGCGGAACCGGAAACGGTGGCCCTTGTCGCGCGTCTCGTAGGCCCTGAACTCCAGCACCTCCCTCCCCAGCTTCTTGGGCACGTCGTACTTCGTCAGGAATTCTTCGATCTTCTGGTACTCGGGCGGTTTCGCCCCCATCTCCTCCGCGGAAAAGTGCGTCTGCCCGATGAGCGCTGCGGCAATCAGCGCGTGGTGGCAAGGCACTCCGTGCCCGTGGCCCCGTTGGCCCCGGGCCTTCTTCTCGTACTCGCCCACCGCCCCGCGCATCCCGTCGTAGAACGCCTCGCCCACCTCCCCCGGCACCAGGCACGTCCGGTAGAGCGCCGCTGCGTGGTTCCGCGACTCCGCCGCCACGGACGCCAAGAGAATCAGCTCGTCCCTCTTCGAGGCCGCGTCGGGCTCCTCGGTCTCGGTCCTCGCAGACTTCGCGGCGCTCCCCTCCTTCTCCTTCGGCTTCGGCAGGAAGTTCTTGTAGGCCTCGCTCATCGGGACGTGCGCGTGCTGGGGCAGGAGCAGAGCGCAGCCGCTCGCGAGCGGCGATTCGGGCACACAGGGCTTCAAGAGCCGGGATAAGCGTGGAAGATACAGTCGTGCGAGAAGCTCTCACTGAGCCAAGATGGACTACACGGATATGGCGTTGAAGTAATGGTAGCGTCGTGAAAACCTCTGCGTCACAGATGGGGCACCCAAGGTAGCCCGGAATTTCCACATCGTGGCGAAAGACACTCCCAGACCCAGAGCAGAACCCTCGGCGAATAGATGCCTCCAGATGCTCGCGAGCGTTCGGCCGGGTAGAAAAAATTGACATGCACACGCAACACTGGTTTGTAACAGTGGCCCTTGCGCCCAGACCAATATCGCCATGACCCGGAAGACGACTTTGATTTTGATGCGCACGGAGTGCCCCGAGCGACAGAAAACTGCGGCCGCAGCGCTCCGTCTCGAGACCGGGCAGGTTGCAAACGAAAGACGGTGCCTCCACGCGATCAGCGGCACGATCCTGACGAGGGGCAGGTGCCAGGTACCCTGGCGGCGGAATGGCCACGGTGCGAGTGCGTGCACGAAGAACGCGAGGATCAATGCCTTGAACCCGTGCGGCAACATCCTCGTCGAAAAACACGTGGGCAGGATAACGACAACAAAGTGCAGCGACATCCTCATAATCTGGATGACAAGATAATGCATCAAAGTCCTCCGAAACCTGTCTGGCCCATGGGTTCGCGTCCGGAAGCAGAGTGCCCTGGGGGTCAAGCACGCGCCGGCCGTCAATCTCCCCGAATACTGTCAAGATCCATTGCACAAACCTGCCAGGGGTGGAACACATGACCTGGTACCACCGTATGCGCTCAATCCTAAGCTCGACCTCGGCCTCGGAGAACTTGAGGGCCCAGCGAACGTCCTTGGTGGAAGGCGCAACGGGATGGCCTTGGGAACACTGCTGGAGACGCGCCATCAAGACACGACGGCCCATGTCGCTCCAAGCGTCATCGATCATGCGAAGGTCAGTGCGAGAAGGGACATAAGCGGCAGCACCAGAAGTAGTAGCACCGATCACCATGGCCCGGAAGGCAAGGACAGTAAACTCACGGGTAGAATGCGCCCAGAATCGCTTAAACCGGCCAAAGTTGCGCCGGGCAGCCTCGATGTTCTTCGCACGTAGGGTACTGAAGCTGCACCGCATGTTTCGCCAACCACCCAAATGCCTAGCAGCAGAAACGACCCGTCCAGGAAAACCACAAGGACCAGAATAAACTCGACGAAGAGCGCCCTGAGAACCGGTGCCAACAAAGTTGACGACGACCTCGCACTTGCCCCTGTGCTGCACGATCGAGGGGACGCCGGTAGAGTTCAAGAGAGCCTGGTCCAGTCGCTCGGAAGCAAGACGGCACCGAAACAGAGCTGTAGGGAACGAGTCGGCCACCAGCGTAGTCTTGGTATCGTCGGCAAAAGTCGAGGTCCCGACCTCCGCCCGGCGCGCAGCGCCACAAAGCTCCAGCGACGAAATAATGCGGAGCTCGGCGAGGCTGTTCACGTACAGGTCGATCTTGGGATGGAAGACGCCGAGGAACCACTTCGGCCCAGCGCGGTGCCCCATCCGAACACCAGAGCCAATCAAGTACCACGTCTGCGTTCCGTCGGCGGTGTCAGCGCGGACCAAAGCGCACTCCAGCTCGTTGAGGAAAATCTCGCGCTCGAACGGGCAAGAAACGAAGGCTCCCTGAATGTGCGATTCAAGCTCGGACGTGTGAGGGCAACAGAAAGCGTTGCGCATGTCAAAGAACAGCTCGGACGTGCCACGGCCCATGGATTGCAAGCGAAAGGCAAGACACGTGGATACGGCAATGGACTCCTCCCTTCGACGGCAGCGGGAATAGCCAGTAGCATAGTCTCTATCCAAAAAATGAGAGCCACGGGCCCACAACATCGCCATGTAAGCACCAGGCAGAGCGCAAAAAAGATGAAGATCCCGTACCGCGTCCCAGCCAGTGGCCCCATCTTTTTTTGGTATCTCGATTAACCAAGACGAATGCCAGCGAAGTGGAGCTTGTCGACGAAACCGGACCAGGGCGAGTAAGAGTAAAAACGCCATTTCGATCCAAGTTGATTCAGAAGTCTCGGCACGATATCCCAAACCAGAGCCACGAGACGTAGATACCTGTGGGGAGAAAAGCATCCGCAGAAGTTCATTGGGGATCCCCCATGGCGGCACGCTGCGGCGATAGGCCGCACGAGAAACCTTCTTTCGAACATCGCGGAGATCCCGACGTGCAAGAGGGATCCAATCGCTGAAGATCCAGGGCCGTGAAGACCGTCGAGCAGACAGCACAGCATCGTAGTCGACATCGTTGGCATTCAGACCACCCTCCTGCGCCGGTAGCCGGAGGCGATACCCTTTCTCCTGGCTTGTTGCACGAAAATGTGGAACCTGGCGAAAACGACGTCGACGCGGCCCCTCCCCCTGGCCAGCTAAACGAAAGGATAACGTCCAAGCAGTGGCAAAGTCCCTCCGCTCCCAAGCAGCCTGGCAATCTTCCTCCAGTACCCGACGTCGGTGACGTGCGCCCTCCTTGAGCGTCTTGCGGGTCGCCGCGGAAATACGACGCAGCGCACCCAGGCGAACAATAGCGGCAAGGCTGGACGTGGCGCGACACACGCACAGGATAGACGCCGTGATGACCCAAGGTTGAACGAGCCGAAGACACTGAATAACATCCTGACAACCTGCAGGAACGGGGATAGCGAGGACAGGACGGTGAGCAGCAGTACGGGCAGACCTGCGCTGAACGATCGCTGCTTTCTCAGGTTCTGTGAGATAAGGCTTCTTCCAAATCGCTGCTGTGTAGTGTGGAGCAGCCGAGCTCAGGATTATGTCGGTCAGCTTCTGGTCAACTTCGTCAGGGCCACTCTCCCGCGCAGCCAAAACGAGCGAGGGCCACTGCTCCTGAATCGTGTTTTCCACCGCCTGGACGAAAGACGTTTTGTGCGTACCTATTTTACACCCCCCCACAAGCGCCTCTTTGTGCCAGAACCGTCGAAGATGGTGCAAAGACCTCGGGATGCCTGTGAACGCCAAGCGCAGGTCGATTTCGCAGCGGACAGGACGGTGATCGCGAGCAACAACATCAGGAATCAATTGTAAGACATCGCCCGCATCATGCCACACATCTGTACTCACCAACTTGGGAAAGACGTCGGAGCTCACAGCGATGAAATCGACGATGCTGGTGCTGCCGTCGGGCCCGAAATACGTCGGCCCGCACTCCCGGAACGTGTTCACCAGACGCATCTCCGAGCCAAGCGCCGAGAGGAGCTGGTGGCCGTTGAAATTGCATTCCGCGGGATTGAAGCCGCCAAACGCAGGATGAACGAGCGGACATCGCACACGAACGTTGTTCAGATCCCGGCCGTACTCCCATCCCAAGTGCCCGTTGGCGTCCAATAGCCAGATCTCCGAAGTGCGGGAAGCCGAGCACACGGTGCGCTGCTTCCCCAACCATTTGAACACCTGCTCCGAGACGTAGCGGCCATGGTCGGACTTAGGGTTGACAGGGGCGATAGCGACAAGTACGAGAAGGTCGAAATTGCGCCTGCGAATATGGACCCCGCCGCAGCGACCTTGCAAGTGCTTGGGGGGAGTCAACACCTGAGCCCAAGAATCCTTTGGGAAATAGTCGCGCCGGAACAACAGCGTACATCCAGCCGATAAGTTCGTGCAACTGCCCCGAGTAGTGGGAAACTTGAGTCCAACATACGAGGAGGAAGAAGAGGATCCAGTGACCTCGACGAACTCGGTGGAGAGACCAGCGAACCTGTCATGAGTCCCGCACAAGCCGATGATGTGGGCGCCAGCCATCACGTCGCATACATCCTGGAGGCGGCCATGCTGACGCATGCTGAGACAGTTGTACTGCACAAGAGTCAAAGCCATGGCAGCAAGCGAGCCCACGGGGGGCAAATGGCATGATGCAGTATCAGAAAGGTCGTGAAGCGTTAAAGCGCCACCGGAGCATGCTGTGGCTTGGGCGCAAATTGCTCCTAGAGGAAGAGGAGGAGGAGGAGGAGGAACAGGAAGAGGAGGGCGGAGGAGGAGCATAAAGAGGAGGAGGGGGGGAGGAGGAGGAGGAAAAGGAGGGGGAGGAGGAAACAGAGGAAGAGAAGGAGTCGCAGGAGGAGGGGAGGAGGAGGGGGATGAGGAGGAAGAAGGGCAGGAGGGGGAGGGGAGGAGGAGGAGGAGGAGGAGGAGGAGAAGGAGGAGAAAGAAGAGGCGGAGGATGATGATGATGAGGAGGAGGAGGCGGAGGAAAAGTAGAAAGAGGAGGAAAAGGAAAAGGAGGAGGCGGAGGAGGAAAAGGAGGAGGAGGGCGAGGAGGAAAAACAGCAGAAAGAGGAAGAGGAGGAGTAGGAGGAGGAACAGGAAGAGGAGGGCGGAGGAGGAGCATAAAGAGGAGGAGGGGGGGAGGAGGAGGAGGAAAAGGAGGGGGAGGAGGAAACAGAGGAGTGAGAGAAGGAGTCGCAGGAGGAGGGGAGGAGGAGGGGGATGAGGAGGAAGAAGGGCAGGAGGGGGAGGGGAAAGAGGAGGAGGAGGAGGAGGAGAAGGAGGAGGAGGAGGAAAAGAGGAGGCGGAGGAGGATGATGATGATGATGATGTTGATGGAGGAGGAGGAGGGAGGAGGAGGAGGAGGAGAAGGCGGAGGAAAAGTAGAAAGAGGAGGAAAAGGAAAAGGAGGAGGCGGAGGAGGAAAAGGAGGAGGAGGGCGAGGAGGAAAAACAGCAGAAAGAGGAGAAGGAGGAGGAGGAGAGGATGAGAAGGAGGGGAGGAGGAACAGGAAAAGGAGGAGGAGCAGGAAGAGGAGGGAAGAGGGGAAAAGGAGGAGACGAAGGAGGGGGAGGAAGAGGAGAAGAGGAGGAGGAGGAGGAGGAGGAGAGGAGGAGGAAGAGGAGGAGGAAAAAGGGGAGGAAGAGGCGGAGGAAGGAAGAAGGAGGAGGAGGAGAAGGAGAAAGAGGGGGAGAAGGAGGAGAAAAAGGGAGGAGGAGGAAGAGGAAGAGGAGGAGGAGGAGGAGCAGGAAAAGGGGAGGAGTAGGAAAAAGGGGGGACGAGGAGGAAAAGGTGGAGGAGGAGGAGGAAGAGACTGCGAAGGACTGGGAGGAGAAGGAGGCACGGAAAAGGAAGAGGCGGCGAGGACAGGGGGAGAGGACGAGGCAGCGGCGACGAGAGGGGAGGAGCTGGAGGAGGGCGATGATGGAGGAGGACCGAGGGTGGAGCGTCGGCGGAGGAAGAGGATGAGGAGGACGATGAGGAGGAGGCGGAGGAGGAGGAGGAGGAGGAACTGGATCGGGAAAAGGACGAGGACGGGAACTATGTGTGTTGGTGCGTGTTTCTTCAGTTCGGCTGCTTCTGCTTCAGGAGAGCCGGCGCGCCCCGCAGTCCTCGCGCCGAAACGGCGGGGCGGCCCGCCCCGGAGCAGGTAGGCTCTGAGCGCCTCCGCGCGCTCGGCGAGGGCACGCTGATCCCCCGCCTCGGCGGGGGGAGGCCGTGTCGCCGCCGCCAGCGGCGGGAGGAACAGGGAAGGAAAGGGACCGGGAAGGAGGGAGGCGATGGTGATCACCATAAGGAAGAGGCGGAGGAGGAGGAGGCGGAGGGATGATGATGATGATGATGATGATGATGATGATGATGATGATGATGATGATGCTGATGCTGATGCTGATGCTGATGCTGATGCTGATGCTGATGCTGATGATGGTGATGGTGATGATGATGATGAGGATGATGATGACGATGCTGATGATACTGATGATGATGTGTTGGATGCTGATGTTGGTGATTCTGCGGACGGCGCGGGTGTTGTTTTGACATGACGGAGGCGCCGATCCGACGCCGACAGGTGGGCCCTTCAGGGATGCCCACGCCCGCCACGCACCCGGTGTCCAGGAAGCCAAAAACCACCCAACACAACAAGCCCTTGATATGGCGATGCGCACCGCCGCAAGGAGGATGCACACGATGAGGCGCACGATGCGCAGCAGCACGAAGAACATGTGGACGAGTATGCGAACGATCCGCACCGTCATCAGGACAACGCTCGTGGCCAAGCTCATCATGGACACCTTCATTGAGAAAGCGAACCGAAGCAAACCCACGATGCTCACCATCATCACGAGCAGGCTGCTCATGTGCTTCACGAGCGGATACATCAAGAGGCTCGGTATCGACCGCCTGCGCAGGCACTATATCCACAAAGACACGGGCCAGCAACAGTGCCGCCGCCAGTTCCTCAGCAGCACCAGCATCTCCCTCAGGGTCACCACCGCGAATTAGAAGAGAATGAACACGTCCCCCTACCAGACGGTAGGCCCTTGGCTTGGAACGGAACAAATATCATCCGCAAAACCCCAGGAAGCGCAAAGTGATCGTGGCCCTCAAGGAAGCTGAAGCTGATCAAGAATATCCGCGCGAAGTTGATGATTCTCTGAAAGATCCGCACGTGGCTGAAGATGGTCGTAACCCTCAGGAAGCTGAAAATGAAAATGATCCGCGCGACCCCCAGGAAGCTGAAGATAATCAAGACGATCCGCGCGACCTGAAGGAAGCTGAAGCTCATCATGACCACCAGGCACGCCGCAAAGCTCCAGCGCCTTCATATTAAATTGGAAGGCTGGGGCGGCAGGAAGCGGAAGACGTCCACAATGGTCGGCACCAGCACCACCACGAAAAAACACTTCGCCCAGAGGGTCAGCACGATCCGCATCCCCAAGAGTATCAACATTACAACAAAACATCGGCAGAGGCGTCCGCGCCCTGAGGTCGGGCCCGAAGCGCCATGGATAAGCCGCGCGCCTTGTAGGAGGCACGTGGCACCGGCTGCCGCGACCGCCATGACCACTATGATAATGGTCCCCGTCATCGTCACCGCCAGAAAGACCACTAAGCTCACCACCAAGCCCTCCAGACATCGGATCCACCAGGGCCACCATGAAAAGCGCCAGCCTGTTCGAAACCAAGTACATGCCTCCACGAGACCATCGCAAAATCGCCAGCGTGGAGACCAGATCGACCATTCGCATGGCCATGGCACGAGTAGTCGCCGACGTCGTAGCGCCGCCAGGGTGCAAAACGACCTTGAGCTTGCACTTGGCGGGGTCTCGCGCCGCACCGAAGAGAAAGCCACACGCCACACCAGCAGCGACACGGTCACGGAGTCAGGCGATACGCTCGGCCACTACCATCGGTGTCGAGGCAGAGAGGCAGCCCGACTGGGAGGGGAAGGGGCAGCAGCGTCGCGGAGCCCGAGTGCCGAGGGAACCACGGACAAGCAAGTGCTTGAGCTCAAGTGGTGATGTTGATGGTGATGATGCTGCTGATGATGATGATGATGCGGATGAGGAGGATGACGAGGATGAACTATAAAGGTGCAGGCTATGATGATACTTGTGATGAACAAGTGACGATGGTGATGGTGATGGCGATGCTGATGCTGCTGATGGTGGTGATGGTGATGGGCAATCATGGGCATGCTAATCTTAATGCTGAAGGTGAGGACACTTCTGACCATGATCAGATCAGATCATGGCCCATGGAGTCCTCTGGGGGTCACGCTACTGAAGCCTTGAGACCATTCAAACTCTGGAGGGGCTGCTACGCGGCCAACTACTTGATTAATGTAAAACTGGATTCGGCCACACTCTGCACGAGGCAGCATTGGCCCATAGACTGAGGAGGCTCCCCCTGGAGCGCAGCTAGGGGTCGGAGCTCCCAGCACTCGAGCGACAAACTCTCTTCTCTCCTCCCACGACCCGACCCCCTCCCACGACTACCGCCCCGACCCTTCCCCGGGATGGTTGTTGCCTTGGCAGCAGAATTGATGGCGTGCTTGGCATGCCCGAAGCTCTCCAAGTAGCTCTGAACAACACGCTTGCCGCGACAGGCCCTATCACAAAGTGCTTGTGAGATCACTCCTCTCGCCAAGGAGGAGGTGGAGGAGAAGGAGCAAGAAAAACGAGGAGCGAGGAGGGAGCAGGGGGAGGACGAGGAGGAGGGAGGACAGAGGGAGGGTGAGGAAGGGGCAGGAGGAACGAGGAGTGGGGCAGGGGGGGGCGAGGACCGAAGACCCGGGACAAAGGGGGGCCCGCCTCCGCCAGCGGCCCCGGCGAGCGGCTGCGCGCGAACGAGACCTCTGCCGGGCGCCGTCGACCGCCGTCGGCCTTCCGTGGCCGGCCGCTGTCGGTCGTCGGCGTCGCTGTCGTTCTCCTCGGTGCGTCGTCCGTCGCCGCCGCCGCCGCCCGCCGCCGCCGTCTGTCGCCCTCGCCGTCGGTCGTCGGCCGTCGGCGCCGCCGTCGTCCGTCGTCCCCAGATCTGCGGCGATGCGTTTTTTTCCCACTGGCGGCGGATCTGGGATCAGCTCGGGGCTCCAGAACTGTGTGGTGACGGTCTGCGTTCTGGACGCCCGAAGTGGGTACAGAACAAATGGGTACAATGCCCAACAACAAATGTTGTCCCAAACCAACAGCGGCCGCTGTTGGGCAGGCGGCCTTCTGTCTCGAATGGACACAGGCCGCGGCGGCGCGGGCAGCGAATCCTGTTCGAAAGGAACAGGAACTGCTGTTGGGCATCGTACCCATTCTTTGCGTACCCATGTCGGGCGTCCAGAGACCTCACCGCGCGGTCCGCCACCGCCACCGAGCGCTGCCCCCGCTGACCGACGGTTCCGCGGCGGCGGCGCGGCGAGGCGGCCCAGCAGCGACGCGCTCGGGGGCCCCCCCGCGCGCCGCGAGGCCGGGGGCGTCTTGGCGGCCTTCGGGGCCCGTGGGCCCCAAGTGGAGGGCTGAACTTAAGCGGTGTTTTTATTCTTCGTTTTGTTGTCGTTTTCCATCGCTTTTGTCTCGAATCTCTACCTATCCCGCAAAAAACGAAGTCGAAACGAACGCGGCCCACGAACTCATCAAAAGCACCAGTTAGGTCCAGCCCTGATGGCGTCCACGGTCTTGGGCCCCTGGGGGCGTCCCAGAGGAGGGCGTCGAAGAGGGGGGCTCGCAAAGCATGGCCGGAGGCATGCGCGCGGCCGGGGGGGGGAACAGGGGCCCAGCGGAAGAGGGCGAGGGGGCCATGAAGTGCGAGGAAGCCTCACAGCCCCTGCCATGAAATTCACCTCCCGCCTCCTCCTCCTCCTCCCCCTCCTCCTCCTCCCTCCTCCTCCTCCTCCTCCTCCTCCTCCTCCTCCTCCTCTCCTCCTCCTCCTCCTCTCCTCCTCTCCTCCTCCTCTCCTCCCCCTCCTCCTCCTCCTCCTCCTCCTCCTCCTCCTCCTCCTCCTCCTCCTCTGGAGCCTCTGCGGACCCAATCCCTCATTTAAAGACTGGCCCGAACATGAGCGGATCAGAAGAGGAACACGACGGCGCAACGACGGGCTCCCTCAAGTGCACCTCCATGCCAGGCACGAGCCCCGCGGCCGAGTAGGCGACGGACCACGCCACGGCTGGTAAGGAGTACACGAGGGTCACTGCTGGTTGCAGGACGCCTCACCTTTCGTCTCCACAGTCACGGGCCATCCTTCACGCTCCAGTCTGGCAAGCTTCCACCTGAACGGCTGTGGATATAGTTTGCGCCTCCTCGATATCCGCTTGGCGCTGATGGCACCGACTGTCTGGGCGTGCAACTGCTGGACCACCGCCAGATCCGCATCCGTGGCGCTGACCCCAGCCTCAGCAGCCCCACCCTCAGAGCCGTCCGTACTGGGGGGGTGGGACCCCAGCACAGGAAACTGCGCAGCAGCCCCACCCTCAGAGCCGTCCGTACTGGGGGGGTGGGACCCCAGCACAGGAAACTGCGAAGCCTCCGCGTCCGAGAGCTCGTGGATCTCGGAGTCTTCCTGCACGACGTGGACGGAGGGCCCCACGGGCAGCAGCTCCCAGGTGCCAGGGACGAATTCCGCCGCATCAGCAGAGAGGCTGGTGGGGGCGCGGCCGACTCCCGCGCGCCGTACCTCGAGGCGAGGCCCACGCTGTGCTCGGCGAAGCTCGCGGGCGCCTGCTAACGCCACGTCGATCTCGAGGGCCTCGGCGTGGAGCGCAACATTGCGCCGCAGCTTCTCCAGCCAGGTGGGCTCCATCCCGTGGAGCGTGGCCACGAAGGCAGGCAGAAGTGCGCGGAGACGCTGTGCCATCTCCGCATCCCCCACGATGTAGTCCAGGGCCGCTTCCGCCGCTGCCAGCTGCCCGCGGACGGCCTGCAGCTCCTCCACGCGCTTGGCCACGGCACGGTCAGCGGACCAACGCGCCCATGCCCGAGAAGCCCGGCGGGCCTCGGCAGAGCGCACTGGGCGGAGAAAAGCTCCGCCCTCCCGCGCCATTCCCAAGTCCGGAACACCTCCAGCAGCAGCAGACCGGTCGCACATGACGAGCCAGCTTGAGCCCCGGGGGCGCGTCCGACGGCTTGAGCCAAAATGGCTACGGATCCTCCTCCTCCTCCTCCTCCTCCTCCTCCTCCTCCTCCTCCTCCTCCTCCTCCTAGTCCCTAGTCGTCACCCCCCTCTTGGCCGCCCCCGATGGTTTGGCCCAAGGGCCATCGAACACGGACCTGGAACGACAGACTACCTCTGGGACAAGCGGTCGGGACCTCTGGGGCCGTGCATTGAAAAAACATCGTCGGATGTCTGGGTCCGTCGCTGGACGCCGTCGGTCGTCAGCGCCGCCGTCGTTGTCCGTCGTCCGTAGTCCGTCGTCGTCCTGGTCGTCGGTTGTTCAAGTGCTTCAAGAAAGGCTTCTTGAAAGAGGCTCTGGGGGATCTCGAGCAGAAGCGCGGAAATGAGGCCAGCGCGGCAGCGGGAGCACGATTCGGAACGAGCGGAAGCGCGGAAAGGAGGCCAGCGCTGCAGCGGGAACACGATTCGGATCGAGCGGAAGCGCGGAAACGAGGCCAGCGCTGCAGCAGGAACACGATTCGGATCGAGCAGAAGCCCCAACAGGAGGCCAGCGGTGCAGCTGGAGCAGCAGTTTGGAGGAACCGAAAGCGTTCGGATTGGAGCAGCGCGTACAGAAATTCAACTCGCAGGCATCCGATGTGTCAAAACCATACGCGGAGGGGGGCGCGATCCCTCACAGTGGTCTTCGGGGGGACGGGAGAGTCGTATTCAGGTTGAGAAAGAGTGGAGAGAGCAAGGAGGGAGGGGGAGAGGGAGGAGGGAGGAACGTGAGGAGGGGTCAGAAGGGAGGAGGGAGCACGGAGGAGTGGGGGAAGAGGAGGAGGAGGTGGAAGGGGAGGAGGGAGGAGGAGGATGATAAGAAGTGGGAGGTGGGTTGTAAGAAGTGGGATGAGGGGCGAGGGAGGGGGAGCCCTTCTCCCCGTCCTGGTGAGGGTGCGACCGCAGGCTGACTGTTGTCACAACCCTGCGCTCGATACGCCCCTGTGCTTACCCAAAATACCACTTGCTACTGTCCAGGGCTCTGCTTCGTTTATCTGTTTTGCCACTGCCTGTCCAGGGCTACCCCTCTCCATGCTGCCTCCTCCTCCATCTCAATCCTTCTCCCTCCTCATCCGCCTCCTCGGTCTTTCACCCCCCTTCTCCTCCTCCTCCTCCTCCTCCTCCTCCTCCTCCTCCATCTTCCTCCTCCTCCCATTTCATCATCCCTCCTTACTTCCTTCCTCCCTCCCTCCCTCCCTCCTCCTCCTCCTCCTCCTCCTCCTCCTTCTCCTCCTCTGCTCCACCCGTATTCATCTCCCTAACTCCTTCCCTCTCCCTCTCTCTCCCTCTATTTCTCTTTCTCTCTCTCTCTCTCTCGCTGTCTGCCTCTCCCCCTCTCTACCTACCTCTCGTTCTCTGGATTCGGACCGGGCGGGGGAAGACGAGGAGGCAGAAGGCAGGAGGAGGCAGGAGGAGGCAGGAGGCTGAGAAGGCACAAAAGTCCACTGCGACGGGAAAGCCCCGAACCAACCCAACCGATCGCGAAACCGAACAAAAAAAAAATCAGCCGAGACCGACGGACCGAAGGCAACCCGCAAAAAGAACGCGGCGGCGCAGCAGCCGACTCTGCGAAGAGGCCGAGCCGGCCGAAGCGCGGGCACCCTCGGGCAAGGAGGTAGCAGGAGGAGAGCGCAGGACCAGTCGGCATCGACTCGAAGTCGCTTCGAATCGTGATTCGTCGTCGTCGTCGTCGCGGTCGTCGACGTCGTCGTCGTCGTGGTCGTCGTGGTCGTCGTGCCCGTCGTGGTCGTCGTTGTCGCCGACGAACGCGACCACGACGACCACCCACTCACTCACTCAGTAGCTCCCGAACCTCAAGCTTCGAGGTCAAGGTTCGAATCACCACTTGACCGGCTCCGCCGCCCCAGCCAAAAACCAGGGGGAAGGGGGGCTAAAACGAACGAAGAGCCCGGTCAAGGACGCCAGACAAGCCTTCGGCCTTCGGCCCTTGCAAGACAAGCAGCTGTTTCGCAACACCGGCTCTGGGCAGGCTGTGCTGCCCGAATCGGAATTCGCGTGGGATCGGGCTGCATCGGAATGAGTCGAAGCCGACCTGGACCAGAAGCGCCGGGACGCACCGCGGCGCAACAACGAGATCGGGCCGCACTGGACCGCTCAAATCAGAATCGTCGGCGTCCAAGTGGATCGAGCCAGCCGGAATCGGCATCGGCATCGGCATTGGAGGAAGAGGAGGAGGAGGAGGAGGAGGAGGAGGAGGATGAGGAGGAGGAGAGGAGGAGCGGAGGAGGGGGAGGACAGGAGGAGGAGGAGGCGGGGAGGGGGAGGGATAAGGGGAGGAGGAGGACGAGGAGGAGGAGTGAGGAGGCGGAGGAGGAGGCGGGGGGAGGGCAAAGGAGGGAGGGAGGAGGAGGAGGCGGAGGGGGAGGAGAGTGAGGAGCGGGGGAGGAGCACGGATAAGGAGGACGAGGAGGCGGAGGAGGAAGGTGGAGGAGGGAGGAGGAGGGGAGGAGAAGGAGGAGGGGAGGTGAGGAGGGAGAAGGGGAGGAGGGGAGGAGGGGCGAGGAGAAGGGGACGCGGGGAGGGGACGAAGAGGCGGAGGAGGATACGGCAAGCGGAAGAGGCGAGGAGGTGGGGAGGGAGGGACGCGGCGCAGGAGGAGGAGGAGAGTCGGAGAGGAGGAGGGGCGGGAGGGTGGGAGGAGGGGGGAGGGAGGGCGGGAGGGCAAAGGGGAGGGGGGACGCGGCGGCGGCGGCGGCGGGCCAGGAGGCGGAGGAGGGGAGGAAGGAGGAGGCGGAGGAGGGCGGAGGAGGGGAGGACGGAGCCCCCCCTGGAACGATGGCGGGATCCACCGTGCGGCAGGCGGCCGCGCTTGCCGTCGGCGGCCCACGCGATCAGGCGCGCTGGCGGGCTGCATGCCGACACTGCCGCGGCCGCTTCGGGGGGGCCAGCGGAGGAGGAGGCGGGGAGGAGGAGGAGGCGGAGGAGGATAGGAGGAGGAGGAGGGGGTCGGCGGATGAGGAGGCGGAGGCGGAGTAGGAGGAGGAGGAGGGAGGGGAGGCGGCGGCGGCGGAGGGGGAGGAGGGGGGCGGATGGGCGGGAGGAGGGGGGAGGAGGGGGAAGGGAAGGAGGAGGAGGAGGCGGGAGGAGGAGGAGGAGGAGGGAGGAAGAGGCAGGCGGCGGAGGGGAGGAGGAGGCGTAAGGCGGCGCGGAGGGCGGAGGAAGGAGGAGGGGAGGAGGAGAGGGAGGAGGACGATGGAGGAGGAGGAGGACGATGGAGGAGGATGGGGAGGAGGAGGAGGAGGAGGAGGAGAAGGAGGAGGAGGAGGAGGAGGAGGAGGGGGAGGAGGAGGACCAGCGCACTGCTTAGGATGATGTCTGTGATCCACCGCGCCCCAGCGCGGAGACAGAGGCCTGGGCCTCCGAGCTCATCAGGGGGTAGAGGCAGCCCCCGCAGCAGAGCTTGATGCTGCTGCCAGATCCCTGAGAGTCTGGCGGTAAAATTGGGCCAGGGGGACAGGGGGTTTGAAAACCACAGGTGAATTCTTCCCCCCTTTCGGGTGTCTGAGACTGAGAACCTTAGAGAGACGGTCGGCGGCACCTGTACTCTGTGGCCCTCGACGTAAACACTCCGAATTGAGTCCCCTGCCTTGCTCCATATAAGAGCCGCAATCTTTACAGATAATCAGGGTGGACGAATTGTCCACGTATTCTAACCATAGGAGATTGTGCCTTTTCGGGTCCTGGGCTAGCTTAGCCATAGCAGCACAGTACCCTGGGCACTTCTCATTCTGACGGGCTATCTGGTGTTGGCTGGACTTCGCCGTCACTCGGCAAACGGTGCATAACCATTTACCCCTTATATATTCCCAGTTATGAGTCGCGTCCGCTGCCTCCGACACAGCCACAGGCGGCGGAGGAGGGGGCGAGGGAGGCGGAGGGGCGGCCCCAGGGTCCCAGACGTGAGGAGCGGACGCGGCTCCTATGGGGGGGTTGGAACTCGTGGGAGCCTCGAGGCCCTTCTTGCCTCTCTTAGGAGCCAAGGCGGGCCACTTGGGGAGGATTCTAGCCAGATAACGCAAAAATCTGCCGAGCAAACGGGTTTGAAACGCATGGGATTCAACCTCGGACCTGCTGGGCTGGGCCATCTTCTGGGCCGCCTGCTTAGCTGCCTTGTCGGCAGCGTCGTTCCCGAGGGCGTGGGTCCTTTCTTCTGGGGAGGAAAACTCGGCTTCGAGAGACTGGTGGCCTTTGACTTTACATATACAACTGCTAGGGCGGACGCAGCACGCGCCTGCCAAGACCTTGAAGCCGCTCATGGTAGACCTGCGAGAGAAACGATGGGCCAGATGGAGGTCTATAGCGGCTTTATAATCCGTGTGCACATGGGTGATCAACGGCGAGGCATGGCAAGCTAAAAGAATCGCTAACTGCTCTGCAGCTCCTGAAGTCTGTCGAAACTGCTGCCCCACCTGGCCTGTGAGGATGGCGAAAGGTTCGTCTTCTCGCAGGGCAACAACAGAGAATCCAGCCGCTCTGTAGGCTGGGTGGAGAGAATTGTCGCAACTGCCGTCAGTGTAGACTTGGCCCTCGAAGGCCTCTTGCAGAGACAAAACAGGGTCCCTGCACCAAAATTCAACATCTTCTATCCCAAGGCCAGGCCTGGCTCCCACGGAAAACTCAGGGTCCCGCTGGAAACCAAAACGCAACAAGGGCTCATCGCTGCTCGACTGCAGCAGTTCTAGCTCATGAGGACTGAAGCATTCTTCACGCTCATTCCTGGTCAAATCACAGCCGAAAACACGGTGCTTGATATCATCAGACACAGCACCGCAGAGGCAGGCGGGGTCGACAGGGTAGCCTGCATCCTTGGCTCGAGCTTTAGTCCAGCAGCCTTGGGTGAGAAACGTCAAGAGACACCCTCTCTCTTGCTTCGACAGCGAGGGATCTTTCAAAGCGGCGAGGGCAACTGTAGGGTCTAGCCTAGCACCTGGAGCTCCAAGCTTGCTCGCGGCCTTCTCTCTCAAAATGTCTAGCCAGTCGTCCTGCATGAGCTGCTGTACAAACGCAGGAGAGTAGCTGGTCATGGGGTAATGCAGGCCGCTGCGAGAAACAAAAACGAGAGGGGAGGCCAGACTCCACCCAATTCGTTTGAGAGACAGGATCATGGCCCCGAAGGGGCCTCGCACGGCCGCCCACCTCTGGGGCGTGGAGCCCAAAAGGCTCTCCCCGCGGGCCCTGAGGGCTCTCAGCGAGGCCAGCGCTTGACTCGAATTGGTGGCGGCACTCCACACGAGCATGTGCCACAGCATGGCGGGTCCAAGGGCAAGCTTCCAGGTGGGGTCACCCACTAGGATTAAGCTTAAAGTCCTGCTTCTAGTGGCGCATTTGGGCCCCGCTAGCTTTAAATATTGTTGCTGGGCAATAGCTAGTTGCGAATTATTAAGGCCCGTCACTTCATGTCCAAAAGACGTTGCTGCAAAGATCCCCGTGTTGTAAACCTTCCTCGTGTCTCCACCTCCTTTCTGAATAGCTCCAAGCCTCCTCATCCTTCTCTTGATCTGCTCCATCCTCGTCCTGGTCAACCTGTTCGTTCTCCATCGGCATTGGGGGGCTCCTGCGGCGGTTTCCACTCCAAGATTCGGGGCAGAGATGTCCAAGTTGGAGCCTGCACGATCCTTAAGCTTTTTCCTCAAGAGAGACCTGAGCTTCGGGGTCGAGGCAACCATCTGCGTCTTGGCTGGCGATATGCTGCAATCCAAATCCTGCTTGATACTGGCGAGCAAACGGCGAGTGCCCAAGTCGAGGCTGCTGACCACGACCTTGGGCTTCTGGCTGTGAGACTTCAAAAGGAGGTCATCAATGAACATGAAGAGGTCGAGGGAGGGATTCTGGTGGGTCCAGGAGTCCAGGGGTTCCAGGGTGTACATCTGGATGAGATAAGTAGCAAACCCACACCCTGCAGCTAGACCATACTTAGTACAACCAACGTACACGATCATATCCTGGAGGGCGACGAACCTAGGACTCGAATAAATGCTGATGATTAGCCTTAAGAGGGTAGCTGGGAAACCACTTCTAAGGGCTCGCTTGGCTAACTTGCTTCTATTGACGTGCTCGTAGTAGTTACTGAGGTCATACAGAACCATACCCGACACAAAAGCCTCACTCTTCTTCTTAAATATACGTTTCGCAATCCAGGTTCTGCTTGAAAACGAGCTCGACTATCGAATGACCTGCTTGATGGGCGAGAAAGGGTCGCCTATGGTGCCTCTCCCATTCTCGAGCGGCTGACTGACGAATACGCGCCCACGTGCGGTAGAGGCCTGACATCATTCCTATGGATCTCATAGCTGGCTTTGTTGCTGACTTATCCTGTTGCTTGTGCTTCATGATGAGGACCGATATGATAGCTTGCAGCTGCGACGGCATAAACCCCAGGCATTCGATGACCAGGATGAGCCGAGCTATGAGATCCGCCTGCGGTTGCGAAAGCAAGAGAAAATGCCTCGGGTGGACTCCGTCCCAGGTCGAGGCTGTTCTGGGGGGGAAGCTCTTGGCAGCAGCTTGCACCGTTTCACCTGTAAGAAGGCCCAGAGCGACACGATCGTCGATATGACCAGGAACAGGGTTGGGTTGGGTCCTCGTTTGCGTGTCCCAAATACTGGCAAGTCGTTCAGCTTCCCCCTCCAGAATTCTCGACGGCCTGCCTGACCACTGGCCGCGATGGAAAGTAGACGCGGGCTTCCAAGCCTCGAGATTGCGCGACCAGCGATGTGCCCAGCCAACGCCACCTTGTAGTGAGGTCTGCACCCAGGAAGCCCAGGCCTTAGAGGCCGCCAGGTTGCTTTTGCCACGCTCCGAATCGATGGACTTGTCCAAGTCCTCGATCAGGGTCCCGATGGCGTCGTTGGCTGTGCCCATTGCTAGCGTACCTGCTGCACTGTCGGAGATCAGCAGCTCGCCGAGCTGCTGGGAAGCGAGGAGCCCCTGCTTGAGGCTCGCGACCTCTTGAAACTCGTCAGGAGCGTCTTGCAGCCCTGCGACGACAAAGACTAGCTGCTGGTGATCTTGATGATGGATGCTGTAATTGATGTCCGTTAGCCTGTTGCGAAGCCAACGTAGAGGAGCCTCTAGGGATTTCCAGCTTGATCTAGCTTTGGCGACTGTGTGCTTAGCTCTTACCCCTTTGATGGTAGGGGGGCTGGCCCTGGGAGTAGAGGAATGCTTCAGCGGAGTGTCCGTTTCTCGGCTGACAGTCTGCTCCAAATCTTTGACGACCGTGAAATAGACGACGTCTAATACTGCTTGCTTTTGCTTATGGCTGAGAGGCTTGGCGGCATCAGCTAGTAATTGATCTGCATAATCAAGTGCGCATGCACTCTGGGTCCAGGCCAGCTGTCGAGGCTGTGGCCCGAACGGCCGTGTTGACGGTAGCCTCTGCGGCCGAACCAACACTGGGATCATGAAGCTGTCGGAGTCCGAGAGGTCGAGACACACTGGCCTGTGGGGAGACATCGGGTAGTTGGCCCACGTGCGGGCCTTGTCGACGTATTCGCTGAGCGTCTTACTGATGATGAAATAATCCAGAACCGATTGAGTTTTCTTCACGCGGAAGGTTGGGCTCGATGGGGCAACCACTTGAAGGGAGGCCCTGTGGAGGTAATCGAGGCTCTCGATCCTGGACGGCGAAAGGTTGAAATCTCCAGCCACGATGATCGGGACCCTCTCCTGATCTTGCTGGACGGCGATGTCTGCTAACAGGCCTAGGTTGACTTCTCCAAGCCCGCCAGCTGCTTTAAAATACGCGCACATGAGCCCTAGCCGAGGTAGGCCAGGGAGCTCCAAAAGTAGACCAGTAAGACGACTGCGGTCCACTGTACTCCTGAAGCTCATGTTGGATATGCCAATGTCGAGGTTGGCTCTGACTAGGATGGCAACACCGCTTACAATCTGCTGATTGTCATTGAGTGCTGCTGGTGAGATATGCGCCAACCAACCCATTGATTGGCACCACTGGACTTGCTGTGCAATGACATCCCCATCTCTGAGCTTGTGTTCCTGGACACAAATCAAAGAACAGTCACTGGCAGCGCGGGATTTGATGAACTGCTTGAGCGTGGGCCAGCAGCTCCCGTTGAACGTGACGATGCCGAGCTTGTTAAAGAGACGGCGACGACGTCCCTGAGGTCGCGGCCTGCACCGCTGCCGCAGCTCCGCGTACCTTCTTGGCCCTCTCGTCGTCGTTGCCGTGGGAGGCCATGATCTCTGAGAGCTGCGCCAAGCTGTCTGCTGTGCGACGATGGCCTGCAAACATGTGGGGCATCTCGACGTCATGAAGGTCACGGGCTGCCGCTTCTTCTCCACTGCCGACCGACATCGCCTCGGCTGCGTCCCGCTCTGCGGGGGGCACTCCGCAGGCTGCGGCGGCGGAGGGGGGCCCAGGCCATGGCGAGCCGCCCAGGCCTGCCGCTCCCGCGCCAGGCGCTGGCGGTGGCCCCCCGATGCCGCCGCTGTCGCCTCCCGCCTGCGCCCCCACGGCTGCCAGGTGCTGCTGCTGCAACTGGTCGAACAGCTCAGCGACCTCCTGCACCTTGGCGGTGAGCGCGGGCGGGATGCAGCCGCCCTCTGGGATCTTGGACTGAAGGGCGGCACTGAGCAGACCTTGCACATTAGAGTCTGCTGCCACCTCTTGTGCTGCTGCTGACGCTGCCACTGCTCGCTGTGCTTCCAGCATCTGGAGTTCTTGGCGAGCTTCGGTCTGGTCATGCAACTTCGACTTGTATTCCTCGGCCAACTTCTCGATCGTGGCCGCCAGTTCGTCGAGCTCGGTCTCGTAGGTGACGAGCTTATTCTTGATGGCATTGATCTGGCCCGTGAGCGACTGAGTTTGCTGGTCCAAACTCTTGCCCCTGAGCGCTTGCATCTTCGCTTGCTTGAGATACTCCACTGCGTCGTGATATTCTTTCTTGTCGACTCCCACCCACTTGCGCCAGAAGGACACCTGGGCCTGCGCCAATGCCACTGGATCAGGCGGTCCCTCCTGGGGCTTGGGTGTCTCTTCTGCCTCCTCAGCTGCGGCGGTCTGAGGCGGTGGGCGGGACCCTGCTCTGCGCGGGCCTCTCGGACGGAAAGCGTCAGCGTCTGCCTTGCCGCCCATGGAACCTTCCTTGAGGCTGGACCCGCACTGGGAGCACCACTTCTTGGGAGCCCATTCCCAACCGCGGCAGCCACGCTTAGAGCAACAAGAGTAAGAACCCTTGCCCATGGCGGCTGTCTGCGGGGATGAGGGGAAAAGTGCGTAATAGTGGCCAAAATCAAAAGAAGCCTGCGGGTCGCTGATTGGTGCAGCGTCGGGAGCAGGCTTATCGGAAGTCGGCGCTGTTGCCCCTCGAGGGGCGGGGATTCCGCAGATTGCGACTTGAGCCAAAATGGCTACGGATGGGGGAGGAGGAGGAGAAGGAGGAGGAGCAGGAGGAGGAGGAGGAGGAGGAGGAGGAGGAGGAGGAGGAGGAGGAGGAGGAGGGAGGAGGAGGAGGAGGACGAGGAGGAGGGGAGGAGGAGGGAAGAGGAGAAGGAGGAGGAGGAGGGGAGGAGGAGGAGGAGGGGAGGAGGAGGAGGAGGAGGAGGAGGAGGAGGAGGAGGAGGAGGAGGAGGAGGAGGAGGACGAGGAGGAGGAGGAGGAGGAGGAGGAGGGGGAGAGGGGGGGCGGACTGGAAGGCCGCCAAACTGTTAAATTGCAACTGCTGGGAGGCTTCCGTGGGGACGAGCCAGACATAGAAACCAAATTCTGGGGCCATGAAGCCAGATTGGTCCCGCTTGCACCCAAGATGAAACACATTAAGCCGGACTGAACGGATCAGGCTGTATTGAGACGGTTTTCGACCGCGTCTATACCAACGCCGATGCTGAATTCAACCTCTCACGAGTTGCATCCTAGCAAATGGGGTCGGAGCAGATGGCCTCGCAGGGTCGGACTGCATCGACGGTGCACCGGGGATGCGCCAGCGATATCGGGGAGAATCAGGCACCTGGATCGCGCTGCATCACCGATACATCGAAGACGCGGCGAGATCCTCCGACCCCATTTTCTCCGACCCCACTTAGGCGGCCTAGAGTGACCAGGACATGACAGGAAAGGACAGGCGCCGATTCTGTCCCACGCGCATGCGGAGAGCGCTTCCTGCGGAAGACAGCAGTAAAGCAGTAGCCTTTCACAAGTGCATCTTGTTGGCCAGGCGTCGTCGCGGATGATTCGGGGGGGGGAGGGGTGGATGTACGAAGGCTCTGGGGCGTTTGGGCGGGCCTCCAACGGCTTTTCGGGAGATCTGTGAGCGGGGGAGAAAGAGAAGACAAGACAAGAGAGGAGCATGAGTCGTGTGACCCAAAATGAACACCATCGCATCATATGTAACTTTGGGGTCACAAAACCGTGTGGTGACGGTCCGTGTGGTGACCTCGGAGCTCCCAGCGCCCTCACTGCGCGGTCCCTCACCGCACGGTCTTAGAACCTCGGAGGCCCCAGTCGCCCGAGACACCCCTCGGAGAACGAGTCCCACAGCAGCGCGGTGACCCCGAATCCCTGTTGACTCACCAGGCGGTGTGATCACCACACTCCATGGGGGCCCCGTGCAACAGAACCGCCGCGAGCTACCCAAACCCTCGACGTCAGGATTTTTTCACTTAGCGAAAAACCTCCCGTCGTGATTCTTCCAGACTCGAGGGGCAGGAGGAGGAGGAGGAAGAGGAGGAGGAGGAGGCCGCAACAAGCGCCCGGTGGGGTCTCCGCCGACGGCCCCAAGGCCGAACCCCCGTCGCGGACGGCCACCGTCGCGGCCGAGGGCGCCATGTCGCGGCGCGCTGGCGAGGCGAGGTGGACCCCCGTCGGGGGTGAACCCCTGGTTGTTATCGCTGTTATCGGTGAGATCTTTATCGTTGTTATCGTTGTTATCGTTATCGCTGTGATTGTTGAGGTCCTTGTTATCGTTGTGATCGTTGTTATCGTTGTCGTTCCCCCCCACGTTTGTTGGGATTCTCCAGAAAGGGGGGGTGACCCTGAGGGAAGGCATGAGTTCGATCCGCTGGTGCACCGAACTGCCGCAAACAGATGCTTCTCAGAAAGCAAGCGGCGGGCATTCTCACAAAACCCTCCGGCCATCTACCTCATAGTCAGGGATCCGCGATCGTATAATCTGGACCGTGGTGGGCCGTCGAAACGTGAATTGCAGACGCGTCAAAACCCACTGGGCTATGTCAGAAGCGACCGGACGACGTGAGAACATCCACTGGGAGAAAGGGCGGAACAGGATGAGGAGGACACGGGAGGAGGAGGAGGAGGAGGAGGAGAAGGAGGAGGAAGAGGAGGAGGAGGAGGAGGAAGAGGAGGACGAGGAGGAGGACGAGGAGGAGGAGGAGGAGGAGGAGGAAAGAGGAGGAAGCGGGGGAGGAAGCGGGGGAGGAGGAAGAAGCGGGGGAGGAGGAGGAAGCGGGGGAGGAGGAAGCGGGGGAGGAGGAGGAAGCGGGGAGGAGGAGGAGGAGGAGGAGGAGGAGGAGGAGGAGGAGGAGGAGGAGGAGGCGCGTACCCCCCAGAGCTCGCCGCCGAAGCATACTGCAGAAGTGGGAGGTGGGGGTTGGGGGGGGGGGGGAGGCAGGCCTGAAGGCGGGGTGGGCAGGGTGGGCGAGAGGATGCCGAGGAGGGGGGGGGGTCGGACGGGGCGGGCAGGAGAGAGAAGGGGCGCGATGGCGGAGGGGCGCGTCGTCGTCGTCGTCGTCGTCGTCGTCGTCGTCGTCGTCGTCGTCGTCGTCCCCCCCATCCCATCTGGGGGGGAGGCCTGTGGAACCCAGGGGCCCATCCCATCTGGGGGGGCGGATGGGCGGGGGGAGGAGGGCGATGGGAGGGGAGTATCAGAGAGCCAGCCCTACCAGTAATCCGTGGAATGGAGACGATGGATGTCTTCTCTCCTCTCGCATTGAAAGAATACTAGCATGATCGGCGGACCAAAAAGGCAGCGGTAGAGGTGAGGATAGAGATCCAGCATGGGTACATGCACAGAGGGGCGATTGTGGCCGGGGGAATAAAGGCGATGGATTGGACACATCAAGAGAAGAACAGGCATATAGCACAGGCCAGCAGGGAGAGGCAGGATGGCGCCCGAACGCCAGAGGAGAGGGGCGAAATCCACGCTTCCCCTCTCCAGGAGAGGTGGAGGGGAGGGATGGGAAGGGGGGGAAAAAGGAGAGGGGGACGGGCAAACTGGGTGCGCTCGCGACGTATCTGGCATCCTTCCCCTCCCCTCCCGCCCATCCCTTCCCGTTACGCTGATGATTTTCTCTCTCCGCGGACGGGTCGCAGCGGACCTGCATCATACAAATTGATGCGCAATCAGAAGGGGGACCTTTGCACACGTGAAGACGAGAAGGTGGCGGATGAGTAATTAGGCGGATTAAAAAAGGATTAGGAAGGATAATCAGGAGGCGGCGGGGCGGCAGCATCATCGGGAGGAGCAGGAGGACCAGGGGAAGGCGGAGGAAGGAAACAGAGAGAGAGAGAGAGAGTGACGACGACGCGGAAAGAATCGCATCCAGAAATGCGGCCCGCGCTGGGGCGAGAGCGCCTCTCTGAACGACGGGGCAGGCGCTGGTCGTGAAATGAGGCCACAGCTGCAGCGGGAACCCATGTCGAACAGCTGCAAAGCTCTGATCGAAAACGCGCACACGGAAGAAACGAATGTGAGGAAGAGGATCGGAGGTAGAAGGGCGGGCCTCGACTGCAACTCGGCTGACCAGGGGCCTGCCAGTGTCCCGCAGCCCCGGCACCACGTACCTGGAGACAGCACAGACCCAGACCTCCGAGGTCATGATCTTTCTCACGACGCGACCCCCAGAGGTCCGGACCCATTCCCTGGGACCCGTTTTTCATCCTGAATAATTTTGTTGACGGTCCCGAGGCTCGGTGAAGGCCCCCAAAGGCCGAAAACAGCGAAAAGCCCCCCGCCGTGATTTTGCCACAACGCGAAGGGGGTCTGGGGACTGTACCTCCTTCTCACCGGTATCCTCATTGCCGTCCTCCTTCCTGCCCTCCCTCCTGTTCTTCCTCGTCCCCCAGTCTTCCGGCGCGCAAACATGAATTAGCGATCCATGGATTTGGCGCGCCGTCGCCAAATCCATGGGTCGGGTGAGATGCCCTCCCCAAAATGCGGCTGGTGCTGACTCGCTCGGCGGCAGATATCCGCGATTTCCCACGGAAACGGGACCCGTCGCTAATCCACGCCCCCTTGATCCATGTTTGCGATCGCCTGATGGGGGGGCCCAGGGACACACAAAGAAAAAGACACACAGATCCCAGGATCCCCCGTACTTTCCCAATCTTTTTCTTGACTCTCCTCTTCCCCCCCGCTTCCACTTCCCATCTTTTCCCCCCTTTTCCTGGGGATCGACGACTAAATGACTTGCGTCTGTGCTTCGATGCTTCCCTCCCGAGGGCCTGCCGCAGCGCGCCGCGCTGCCGGGCCCCCCCCTCCCCTTCTGCCTCGTCCCCGAGTCGTTCTCTTTTTGGAAGGGGCCTTGGGACACACAAATAAATACACACAAATGACTGGATTCCCCATATTCTCCAATATTTTGGATTTTGCCTTCCCCCCACCACTTCCCATATATCTTCCCATATTTTTCCTGGGAGTCGACGATTCATTGTGTCTACGTGTTTCTTTCTCTCCTGATTTTTCCCCAGGGCCCACACTCCGCCTCTGCCTCCCCCGCCAGCTCCGGAGCCCACGCAGTATCACGGTGCCTCCTGCTCCCCCCCTCCCCTCCTCCTCCACCTTGCCCGCCTTCCCAATTCCCCCCCCTCCCAACCATCACATTCCCTCCCCTCCTCATCTCCTCACCTTTCCCCCCCCACATCACGTCGTCCCATCTTCCCTCGCATCCACCTCCTCCTCGTCTTCAGGCATCCTCCTCCCTACCCCTACCTGCATTTTCTCGCATATCCTCATCTCACCTCATCTACTTCATCCCTCCCCTCCTCCTCCTCCTCCTCCTCCTCCTCCTGCTCCTGCTCCTGCTCCTGCTCCTGCTCCTGCTCCTCCCACACCTCGTCCTCACCATCATCTCCTCCCCCCTTCCTCCTCTCACCTCATCATCGCTCTCTCCCCTCCCTCCTCCCCCCTCTCTCTACTCTTCCTTCACATTCCCCCTCGGCCTCCTCCTCCTCCTCCTTCTCCTCCGTCCCCTTCCCCATTCCACTCCTCGTTTTCTCCCATCCTCCTCCTCCTCCTCCCCCTCCTCCTCCTCCTCCTTTGTCATCGTCGTCCTCCTCCACCTCCTCCTCCTCATCCTCCTCCTTTGTCGTCCTCCTCGTGCTTCCTCGTCGTCCTCGCTCTCCCCAAGCAACCTGCGGAAAAAGGCCCGAGACTCATCATAACCTATGCAACATCGCGGAAGAGCTCCCAGACCTCGAACATGTTCCTGTTCCCGCTCTTGCTCCTCCATTTACCCCTTCTACTCCCACGTGCTCGTTCGTCTCCTCCTTTCTTGAAGCCCTCCCCTCTCTCATGTTGGCACACCCGAAGGGACAACATCAAAAATACGACTCTCGACAACAAAGGTTGTCCAACAGGACAGCGACTGCTGTGCTGTTGAGCAAGCCACGCTTGCCACTAAGCCGGCCACTTCTGCCACAACACCGACAGCGAGTTTTCCCCGCTAGTTTCGACTTCACTTGGCCTCCCACTAGTTTCGACTTCACTTGGCCTCCTAAGCCCGCCCTCCTCCCTCATCCACTTCCTCCCTCCTCCTCCTCCTCCTCCTTTTCCTCCTCCTCCTCCCTCTCCTCGCCCGCTTCGCCCTCCTTCTCCCCGACCTCCTCAACCCGCCAGCCTACCTTCCTCCCACCCCCCAGCCTTCTTGCCCTCCTCATCCTTATTCCTTATTAGAATATACTCCTACTCCCCCCTCAGGCCGGCAGATAGCGGGCGCATCCGGGTGGTCCCATCCTAACCTGTAGAAAACAATACAAAATCAATATTTTTCTTATTTTTTCCTCTCGACATGGACGTCCTGTCGTCCACGGCGATAATCCATTGCAAAAAATACCACAAAGAGCACACGCGCGCGTTCATGTCAGAATCCTACCGAACACCGTGTGTTTGCAAGCATTTCAACATAAAAACATCAAAAACCCAATGTTTTTTTCACAAAAAATTGTACAAATTTCCCGCCCGGGCTCTCTTGCTGAAATCATAGGAAAACCATAGGAATCTTAAGAATTCTGTCAAATCCAGCGATTTCACGTCATCGCGCGGTGCACTCGCGATGCTCTGTCATGCACCCAGGCCGCGAATCCTGTGCAAAAAATACCACAAAGAGCACACTCGCGCGTTCATGTCAGAATCCTACCGAACACCGTGTGTTTGCAAGCATTTCAACATAAAAACATCAAAAACCCAATGCTTTTTCACAAAAATGCTTTGGGGTGTCCTGTCAGACCGTCGGGCTTCCTCCGGCCACCTCTGGCTTCCTGCGGTGTACCGGGCCATTCTCGACTCGTCTGGCAATGCGTGCGCGGCATTCAACACGCGCTCGCCAGTTCCCGTCGGCAACCGCCATCGCGGCCGCATCAGCTGTACCAAACCGGCTGGCCGGTGTGACTTCGGCCCCCAGTTGTGCCAGCTTTGCTTCTTATGTTGTGGGAGGGCGGGTGGGACTGGGCATGCCATGCTTGACTCGCTCGAGCTGGCTAGCTTGACCCCCCTCCTACTCCTCGTCCTCGCCCGTCTGCACCTCCTCCTCCTCCTCTTCCTCCTCCTCCTCCTCCTCCTCCTCCTCCTCCTCCCCCTCCTCCTCCATCCATCTTCTCTTCCGCCTCCACATCCTCCTCCTGCTCCTCCTCCTCCTCAGCCTCCTCGTCCTCCTCCCCTTGCTCCTCCCCGTCCTCGTTCTCCACTTTTCCTCCTCTCCTCTGTCGTCCTCCTCATCCTTCCTCGTCGTCGTCGTCCTCCTCCTCCTCCTCCCCGTCCCCATTGCCCTCGTACTTCGTACGCGTGGGAGAAGGGACGGGGCGAGAAGGAGGGGGACCAGAAGAAACCGAGGATACGCCAATCACACATCCCCTCCTCATAACAACCTACAATAATTCCGTTACAAAAAAGAAAACGCCCCATTGAAACACGAGCGCCTCATGCGCCTGCCGGTCAGGCAAGCGCGCGCTTGGGAAAAGGAGCTGCGAACGCAAAGAGGCCGAACACAGAATGTTCAAGGACACGCCCAACGAGAACCCCATCAATGTGGCTGCTGCAAGCGAATGCACTTATGGCCGTGTACATTAAATCATACCAACAAAACCGTTTTTTCAAAAGGACATCTCCCCGACGGTTCAACTTTTGCACGGGTTTCCACGTATGGCCACACATTTCAAAGACGCATCAAGGGATCGACACATTGTGAAAGTCAACGTGTGCGGCGCTATGACGAGAGCCACATGTTGAACAAACGCTGCCCTCTCAGAGTAATGCCAAACGTCATAACCATAACATGTCCGAGGTCCGCGCGGACTTGTGACAAGTTATGTGTCTGCTGTGTTGTGTTCTTCAACCTCCGTCCACATAACTGTTGAACGCGCTCAAGACGAATGTGCGCGGTGCTTGGACGAGGCCCACATCTTGAACATGACCCGCCCTCCATCCTTGTCGCTGCTGGAGGAACGCCACGGGGCGCTGGGGCGTAAATGGCACGTTGAAAACGGCATCCCTCCTAACGACCTGAAGACCTCGAGGCGAAAGCGCGCGGCGCAAAGAAGGGAGCCGAATCTTGAAAACCAGCCGCCGTTTGTCCTTGTAGCTCAAAATCTAAAATTTCACAGTCGGTGAAAAGTCTCGGGCGAAACGACGGGCCTGTCCTACCAAGACGTCTTGCGGGGCGACAAGGATCGTCTAGCAGGAATAGGGGCGAAGGAGGAGGAGGAGGAGGAGGCGGTGGACCCAGAAGAGGCCTCCAGATGATTCCCAAGGCACCCAGGACGCACAAAGACGGCCCTAGGCCCGCCAAGGTGCCTCCCCAGACGCCACGAAAGGCCTCCAAAAAAACTTCCAAGAAACATCCGAGGAGACTCCGAGAGGCATTCAGGAGGCTTCTGGCTCTGCTGTTCGCCCTTTTCCTCCTCCTCCTCCTCCTCCTCTTCCTCCTCCTCCTCCTCCTCCTCCTCCCCTTCCTTCTCCTTCGCCTTCTCCTCTTCCTCCTCCTCCTCCTCTTTCTCCCCTTCCTTCTCCTCCTTCATCTCCTCCTCCTCCTCCTCCTCCTCCTCCTCCTCCTCATCCGAAACTCTATCAGCCTTGGTCTTCCTCCATCTATCCATCCCTTCTCTTCCTCCTCCTCCTCCTCCTCGTCTTCCTCCTCCTCCCCCCCCTCCTCCCCGCTCGAACAATGACGGCTGTCCTCCTCTGTGCTCCTACACTTCTCTGATCGCCTCAATTCGCCGGGGCGTCGGGTTTGGATGGGCCGGCGGGGATACTTTTGATCGCGACCACGTCGAAAGAAATCGGGCGGTGTCCAGGAGCGTAGCACACGAGCAACGGCCCAAATTACGCACGCAGAAGATCTTCCAGGCGAAATGCAACACCAAAATGGCGGAAGGCCGGCGGGGATATTTTTTGTTAGTCGCAGCCGCAAGCGAAGGCGCAGGCGGCGTCAAAGGTCGACCCGGGCTGCGGGCGGAGCCTAATTTCCCAGCAAGCGCACTCACGGCTGCCGAAGCTGCCGCGGAGGGATGCTGAGTGGCGCCAGAGGCTGGCCGGCGGGGATGCGCGAAGCGTCGGGAATTTTTGGCGATGCGCAATTGCTGAAGCCCCCCGGCGGCCAGAAAACTTCCAGGGGACCACGGGAACACCCGAAAACCTCACACTTCGAACTTGGACGGGGTCCGGGGCCCTAGTGTAGACGACGAAAACAACGACGACGGCGACGGCGACGCCGACGGCGACGGCGACGACGGCGACCACGACGGCCACGAGGAAGACGACGGCGACGACGACGACGAACACGACGACGACGACGACGACGACGACGACGACGACGACGACGACGGCGACGACGACGACCACGACGGCCACGAGGAAGACGACGACGTGCCCGGGGGGGTCGGGGGGCCCGGCGAGCACCTGTCTGCCTCGAGCTCGCCGACCCAGCCCTCGCGCTTGCGCTCCTCGGCCGGCCGGCCCGAGCACCCTCCGAGAGATGCGGGGATAGATAGGCAGAGAAAGAGAGAGAGAGAGAGATCAGAAAGAGAGAGAACAAACAACAAAAATCATATATATATATATATACAAGACTGCATTGGCGCTTCGCGCCAATGCAGTCTTGTTCCGGACGCTTCTCGGGAAAGCAATGAGTCATCGCGTGTTTCAGCAGAGGGTGCGTCGAGACCACGAATACGACCACGATCACGAGGACCACCACCACCACCAGCACCACCACAACCACAACCACTACGACGACGACGACGCCGACGACAACGACGACGACGACGACGACGACGACAATGGGGCTCTCGTCTGAACCGTCTTGGGGGCCTCGTGGGCCGTCTTGAAACTTTAGTGGGTCCTCTTTGAGCGCTGATTGGCCGTCTTAGGGCCCGTTTTGGGCCCGTGGGCTCCGATTGGAAGGGGCGTCCAACTGCCCGGAAGGCCGCCAGGACTCCGAAAGGGCGTCCAGGGCGTTCGTTGGGTGGAGGGCAGGGGCGTCTGGTGTGTCCTGGGGGGGGGGGTCCGGTTTAGCGGGGGGGGTCCGGGTAATAAGAATATAAGAATAGGAATAGCGAGAGAGAGAGAGAGAGAGAGAGACGGAGTGGAGACACACATATCGATAGAGAAAGGGGGAGAGGGAGAGAGAGAGAGAGAGAGAGAGAGAAAAAAAAAAAAACCACAGAGAGAGAGAGAGAGACAACAAAAGAGAAAGAGAGAGAGAGAGGGAAAGCGAGAGGGAGATACATATATATATATATACAGAGAAAGATAAAGAGAAAAACAAATAGAGAGAGAGAGAGAGAGATGGGAATAAAGAGAGAGTATGAGAGAAAGAGAGGGAGAGAGAGAGGGGAGAGAGAGAGAGAGACAGAGAGACAGAGGGACAGAGAGAGAGAGAGACTGAGAGAGAGAGAGAGAGAGATAGAGAAAGAGAGAAAGAGAGAAAAAGGGAGAGAGAGAGAGAGAGATGCAGAGAGAGAGAGAGAGAGAGAGAAAGAGAGAGAGAGAGAGAAAGAGAAAACAAAAGAGAGATAGGAGAGAAAGAGACAGAGAGACAGAGAGACAGAGAGAAGGGGGGCAGGGGGACAGAGGGAGAGAGAGAGAGAGAGAAAGACAGACAAACAGACAGAGGGATAGAAAAGGGGAGAGATAAAGAGGGAGAGAAAGAGAGAGAGAGAGGGAAAGAGAGAGAGAGAGAGGAATAAAGCGAGAGAGAGAGAGAGAGAGAGAGTGAGACATACAGGGATAACAAACGAGCGAGAGGCAGGGATAACGAGAAAGAGAGAGAGAGAGGAGGAAGGGAGGGAAGGAGGGAGAAAGAGAGAGAGAGAGAGAGCGATAGAAAGAGAGAGAGAGAGAGAGAAGATATAGAGAGAGAGAAGGGAGAGGAGGAAGGGAGAACGAGAGAAAGAGAGAGAGAGAGAGCGATATAGAGAGAGGAGAGAAATAGAGCGAGAGAGAGAGAGAGAGAGAGAGAAAAAAAAAAAAAAAGACAGAGAGAAAGAGAGAGATATAAACAAAAAACACAAAGAGGAAAGGTGACGAGAGAGAGAGGAATAGAGAAAGAAACAAAGAGAAAGGGAAATATAGAGAAAGAGAGAGGAGAGAGAGAGAGAGAGAGAGAGAGAGACACAGTGGAAGGTCAGTCCACAAGAACCCTCCCACAAGAAACCCAACCCTTAGACCCACGGACGTCCTGTCGCGCTTTTCACCGCAAAACCATCGAAACCCAAGAACCCAGGGCACCCTGGAGGCAAGCAGGGTGTTTCCTGGCATGGGTTCCCACTGCATCGCGAACCCCTGCGGGGCGCAAAGCAACGCTCCCCAGATCCTGGACCGATCCTGGATCCTCGATCCTCCTGGATCCTCCACTCGATCCTCCTCGATCCTGGATCCTCGCTCCTCCTGGATCGATCCTGGACCCTCGATCCTCCTGGATCCTCGATGATCCTGGATCCTCGATCCTCCTGGACTCTTCACTCCTGGCCGGCCGCGCGGTTGCCTCGACGCGGGCCGGCGGAGGGAAATGCGGGGGCGCGGCGCGGCCCGCCCCGCGCGGGCGACGCAGAAGCGCGGGCGACCTGCGCGAGAAGCCACCAGCGATCCCGCGCGGTGGCTCTCGCGGGGGCCGGCGGCGTGGCGTGCTGCACCAGAAGCGGTGGCTTCCCCCCCCCGCGCGGCGCCTGCCCGCGCGACGTCGTCCCCGTGTTCGGCCGTCGCCCGCGCGGCTCCCGAGCCCGGGCCGTCCGCGAAGGCCTCCTCCTAATCCTCGTTGTTTTCCTCATCCTCCTCGCCCCCTTCCTCCTCTTGCTCCTCCTCCTCCTCCTCCTCTCCTCCTCCTCCTCCTCCTCCTCCTCCTCATCCTCCTCCTCCTCCTCCTCCTCCTCCTCTCTTCCCTTTCCTCCACCTCCCCTTCCCCCTTCCGTGGTGGCGGGCGGCTCCGGGGGCCGCCACGAGCCGTCCAGCCGCCGGGTCCACCGCACCTCGCTCGGCGGGCATGCAACGCGCCAGCCCGCGTGGAGGCGACGACGACGTCGGCGGCGGCCGGCGGCGGAGGCCGGCGGCGGCGGCCGGCGGCGACAGGCGCCCACCCACCCTTTGTGGGGAGCGGGGCAGCCCGCGGTCCTGCGATCCGACGTCGCGAAACATGCAACATCGCGGCAAATCACCACCAGTTCCCTGGACCCTTTCCTTAACTCCGAATCGATCCGATGTTTGAGGGGTCCCTGGGCCCGAAGCCAGGTGAAAACGCCCAATGAAAAAAAATGCGGCGCCAGCATCTATGGGGGGGCCAGTGGGCCAGTGTGCTGATCTATTTGTTCAAAGCGCCTCCGGCCCCCGTGAGTCCCGACCCTCTCCCCTGGACGGGTCTTGTTCTTGCACGACCCCAAAGCCCGCAGGGCGCCCATGAACGGGCACGGACGCGAACGCGGCGAGCATCATGGAACCCCATCCGCTTATTAAGCAAATCAAATGGAGCCCTTCAGCGCAATCACTGTTTGGGGAACGCGTTGTCGCTATACGGAAAGAAAGCCGAAGGCCAGTTAGCCTGCGCGGGCTGCAACAACAACGCTTCTAGGCACAAGCGCGGTGCACCCAATGTGGTAAAATATAGGTGGCGCGGCTTGTGTGGTACACCCTATGTGGTGCAATTAGTCTTCACAAACGAGTTGACACATTCAATATTCATGCAAACATCCCACCCACCCACTCACAGCTTGGTTAGCAGAAGCCATGCGGCGGCGATTGCGAAATGGCGCTGGCCGCTGGGCACATCTCAGCAGGCACTTCAGTGCGAGTCGGCGACTTGGGCGGGCGCGGTATCATGGCAAAGTCGACAACGGTAGACACGATGATGATCGTAGCGATGCTGGTGACGATGTTGGCAACGACGACGGCGCGGCCTGTGCGGGCGCCAGTGCCGGTCACGCCGACGACGATGACGGCGTCCTCGCGTCGGTGATGAAGGTCTTGGAAAGACTTCGACATGCGCGCGCGGCCGACGCGCGAGTGGCCCGCATGGAATTATTTGACACGAGTCGTGCCCTCCCCAGCACGCGCACAAGGGCGTGGGAATGATTTCGGCACGCGGCGCCAGAGGCCCGCTTGGCAGAAGCCCATGACAAATATTGAAACATCATATCTTAAGAATTCGCTGAGGAGCGCGAGCGCACGCTTTTGTGAAAAATGATGTTGCGAAACCGTTTGTTCTGTTTTCTGGACACTCGATGTTGAAATGTCCTCCGGTTTCTGACGGATTCCGGCATGCGCGCGCGACGACGCGCGCGCGTGCACTTCGTCTCGTGCTTTGCAAAGGATTCTCGACGGCACGCGCGCGAGGGCGTTCGAACGATCCGACATGGCCGCGCGAAGCCCGTTTGGTAGCATGTTGTGACAATGTTAGACCTATGGTTTTCTTCATAATTCGCAAGTGCGCGCGCAAGCATTTGTTTGAAAAACAGTGTTGCGAAACCGTGTTCTTAAATGTGTTTTGGACACTCGGTTTTGAGATCCTTACGATACCTTGAGTTGTTGAAGGAATTCGGCATTTGCGCGCGACGATGCGCGCGTGCGATTTTCGCCTCTTTCTGTTGCAAAGGATTCTTGGAACCTGATGATAGTTGATAAACGAGTGCGCGTGCATAGAACATGTTGCTGAATATGGCGGGGGGCGGACACCAGCTCGGCTGGGATGGTGTGAACTCATATTTTATGATGGACGATGGGACAACATCGTATGCAATTTGTAATGCGAAGGGGCGGGCGGACAATCCAGAAAGGGGGGGGTAGAGTCTAGATTCTTCGAAGAACGGAACATATATCTGGTACAGTTCATGGTGCGCGATCTGTGCTGTGCAAGAGAACGTGGTGCCATAAATGTTGTGCAACCGATGTGAGACCATCCATAGTACCATCCATAGTGTTCAGTCTCTGTGGTTCAGTACGTGTTGCGCGGTCTGTGTTGTGAATCCTATGTTGTGCGACCTATGCTGTGCAACCTGGGTGGAAACACCTGGGTGGTAGCGCGCGCACGTTCGCGCGCAAAGCGGCCAGCCGCCAGCTACTCTGGCACGACAGACGCGGCCGCGGTGGCGCTGACCGCTGGGGACTTCCCAGCGCGTCTCAGAAGCTGCGCTGGCGCGCGGGCACTTCAGTGCAAGACGGTGACTCGGGCGGGCGCAATATCATGGCGACGTCGACAAAGACCGGCGCGATGATGATTGCAGCTATGCTAATGCCAAATACGTTTCTATACGTCAAATCTGGGGATGAATGAGCTCACGGTAAAAACGGTTGGTGCTATACCAGTCGAAATGAAACCCGCTGCACGGGAGGACGACCCTCTCGTGAACTTGCGAAGCGCTGGCGCGGCCTGGGGTTCGAGCGGCATGGCGGGCTGCGCAGAGGGATGTGGGGGGAGATTATAACATAAGGTCTAGAAACGCAGCCGCCTCTTCGCCTGCTTCATGTTCATTCCAGCCTGGAATCGGCAACACCCTCACTATAAAGAACCAGTCGAGTCCTGGCGGGTGCCCCTCGATGCTGGTGGCCCAGCTGCATGTGCAATCCCTGGGCGCGCGTGCGTGGCCAGCGAGGGGCGGCGAGCTGGAGCGAATGAAGTGGGCGGTTCTGGAGAGGCCGAGGGGGGGAGGGGCTCACGGCCATGTGGCGCACCCTCCCCTCCTGCCTCCAGCCCGCCCGCTTCTCTTCGAGACATGTTTGTTGATTCGCGGGTCGAGAGCGCACCTCTTCCGGTCGAAGCTAAGCGGGCCGCGCGAAGCTTGAATTCAGCAGAGATGGGGGAGGAAAAAAGGGGGGGCGCAGCATCAGAACGAGGCCGGGAGGAGGCAAAGCCTCGGGATCAGGCGGTGCCGTAGTCGACGTACTTGCAAAGGCGGCTTCTCTTCGAGACAAGTTGCCAGGAACATCTGTGCCAGGGCTGGTTGGTGGTGCTGCTCTGGAGAGGCAAACAGCGCCACGAACACAAACTTTCGGGTCTGCACGGATTGCTTGAAGCGGCGCTGGGCCCCCCCTGGCGCGAGGAGCGCGCCGGGCTCGGCGCCAGAGGCGCCGCCAGCCAAGGGGAGTCCAGCGCTGAGCCAAGCCATCCGCGCGGACCTCGAACCGAGATTGTGTTCGTACCGTTTTTTCTTCTTCGAGCCATGGCCGTCCTTGGTTTCCGATCTCTCCAGACCTCCAACGTCGTGATTGGTTCTGCGACGTGGGCCCCTGGAGGTCTGAACCCCGTCCCCGGGATCTGTTGTCCATCCCACTTTTTAGACGGCCCCGGGGCTAGGTGAGGATCCTCTGGAGGCCGGAAACTGCCCCAAACTGGACCTCTCAGAGGTGCGTTCTGACTAGGATTTCGAGGCGAATCCAGCCGTGGGGATGAGGGCCTCCCAGGAGGCCCGAAAAGGCGAAAACAAAGGAAGGGTAGCGGCGGTTCTCTGAGAACGGCGCCCATGCAGCCTACCATGTTTGGACTTCATTCAGGCCCCGCCCCAACGCGGTACGGTGCGTATTTTCTCGGCTCTGAGGGCCAGAGAACAATGCACCGTGCACCATTCCTGGATCGAAGATCGACGACACCTCGGAACACGCGGACGCAGTACGGTGCACACAAGTCGTCCGCGGAGGTACCTCATCCTCCTCTGTTAGGAGGCCCACACAAGACCTACGCGCCCAACAATGTACACGAGCACGGCCCCCGAGTTCGCGAAACCGGCCGCGTGATACGAACATTCGCGCAAGGTGTACAGTGGAGGTCAGTCCACAGGAAACCTTCCACGAGAAACCCAACCCTGAGACCCCAGGACGTCCATCGATTTTTGGTGCGGGAACGCCACGCTTTCCATTGCAAAACCGTCGCAGCCGAAGAAACCCAGGGCACCCTGGAGGCGAGCAGGGTGTCTCTTGGTAGGGGCCTTTACTGTACGAACTCTCGCGCACGGCGTAGTCTCGAAACCAACGTGGATTCATGCACGCGCACGCCCTTCTCTCGCTCCTCCTGTGGTGGGCCCCGGCGCGCCGTGGACCCGTCCGCGCAGACCAACACGCTGCTGCCGTCGGGCTGCAGCTCCGCCCGGGCGGGCGGCCCGCCACCCGCGGCCGCCGCCCCGCGCGGCGACCTGCTGCGGCTGCGTCTGCGGCCGCGCCGCGGCCGCGCCGCGGCGGCGCAGGCGCGGTCGTCGCCGTCGTCGTCGTCGACGACAACGACGACGCCGCGCAGGCGGCGCCCCGCGCGGCCGCGCCGGCCACGGCGGCGACCCCCCGCGCGGCCGCGGCGGCGGAGGGGCGCTTCGCGGCGCGGCGGGCGGGGGTCGGCAGCACGAGCAGCCTGCCGGCGGCCACCAGCGCGCCCACAGCGGTCGCGGGGGCGCGCTTGCCGCCGGCGGGTGCGCCGGCGGGTGCCGCTGGGGCGCGACAGGGGGCGGGCATCGCAGCTGCTGGCTGAGACGGAGCCGTCGGCGAGGGCGACGGCGAAGGCGGGGGCCAAGAGGCAGTGAGGGCGAGAGGCCCGGTGAGGGCGAGGGGGAGGCGAGGGCGAGGGGGCGGTGATCACCAGGGGATGGCGAGGGTGACGCGATGATAAAAGATGGAAGAAAGGGAGGGGGGGAGATGTGTGAGCATCCAGATGAAGCGGATCCTGAGTGCCCGTGCAGCCCATTTCGTGCGCTGATTCTGGCAGCAGGGCTGACCTGGCAAAACTCAACTTCTTCTATGAACACCTGTCGGCGGATCAAACTCGCGCAGGCTTGTCCGTCGCCACTGCTGGGCGGCCAAGTACGTCGGCCATCTGCCATCCACACACGTCCCCCCCCCCCCGAAAAATAGCGCATGTGTCGAATGATCGACGAAGCGCGACAAGTTTACATCCAAACGTGGCCCGCCAATAATTCACGCGCCCTGATCCACGCGTCACTAGTCCACGCGCCCTGATCTCAAGCGTGTAAACGATGCGCAGCAATGGAGGGAGAACCGCTGGGGCCTTCGGTAAAGCTCCCTATGTGGCCACGAAGCGCGTGAGGGGGGTGCCGACATGAACCTGGGGAAGGAAGGAGGAGCAGGAGGAGCAGTGGGAGCAGTAGGAGGAGGAGGAGGAGGAGGAGGAGGAGGAGGAGGAGGAGAAAGAAAAAGGAGGAGGAGAAACAGGAGGAGGGAGGAGGAGAAACAGGAGGAGGAGGAGGAGGGGAGGGAGGAAGGCGGAGGAGGAGGATGAGGAGGAGGAGGAGGAGGAGGAGGAGGAGGAGGAGGAGGAGGAGGAGCGAGGCGGAGGAGGAGGAGGGAGGAGGAAGCGGAGGGCCCCTTGGGCGCTGCCGCAGCGCCGCCCAGCACCCCCGCGGGGGCCCTGCGAGGAGGAGGGCCCGCCGCAGGAGTGGGGGCTGGCGCGCCGCCCGTGGCAGCGGGCGGCGAGGGAGGCGCGGAGCATCGCAGAGGCGCGGAGAGAGGCGCCCAAGGAGCCCCAAAGCTGCCCCCCAGAGTAGAGGGCAGGAAATCCACCCCCCGAATTCGGGCGCTGGTAGAACTGGGTTTCGTGGAACCTGGTTTAGTGATCTGTACTGGGGGCGCCGCCCCGTCCCATTTCCACGAACCGGAACTGCCGTCACCCGAAAAATCACTAGCTATGGCAAACCTGGTTTAGTGATTCTGGCCAATTCGAAGGCTCCAAGGCCCTCCCACTAACGGGGTCCCCTTATCCGGGGTCCTGGCCATACCCGAAGAATGATCACCCCGACACGCGAAGCCGTCTGGTAAACGCACCTACAGAAGGGAACGAACAGGGCAAGGCTGTTCAGGACACGCCCAGGGCCGCTCTGCAGACGCCGATTATCGGGTCCGGGCGTGTTTTCCTCCCTTGACAGAGGCCTCCGAGAGCGCTCCAAAGAGACCACAGACAAAATGCCTGAGGACGCTGACCCACGTCAGCGTCGTCGCCGTCGTCGCCGCCACCGCCGCCCGTCGCCGCCGTCGTCGTCGTCGTCGTTGTCCCCCTTCAGGGTCGGTGGTACCGGCCGTAAGGCCTTCGCAAGAAAGGCGCCCAGGGAGATAGCGAGTAACCCTGTGGTGTTCCAAGCCCAGATGGCGGAGCGCCAGAGAGACCTTCCAGCACTCCTACGAAGGAGCTCAGGCAGGAAGCTCTTGATACAGTGGAGGCCAGTCCGCAAGAACCCTCCCACGAGAAACCCAACCCTGAGACCCCAGGGCGTCCACAAATTTCTGGTGTGGGAAAGTCGCGCTTTCCATAGCAGAACCATCGAAATCCAAGAAACCCAGCGCGCCCTGGAGGCAAGCAGGGTATTTCTTGGCATTGGGTCTCCACTGTACTGAAAAACAATTAGCGAAGGCCTTCTGGGGCACGTCGCAAGCTCAGGCAAGTTTCTGCGAGGCGTCCTGCCGGAAGCTGGAACGAGCTCTGAAGCTATCTGCCTGCCGGCTTTCAATCCGGGAATGTACACAAATTCCCGGATTCCGTCCGCCTTGCATATTTGATTGATTTTCGCTCTCCTCCATTAGCCAGATGTTCCCATGTTTCCCTTGGACGTTTGTGGGTGTCTGGTGCCGATGTTTGCCTCCTGCGTGCCCGCCTCGCCGCCGAAAAGACAACGGACTGAGACTGACCCGCCCGCGCACCCCGGAGGGCAATGTTAGGGGGGGGAGGGGAGAAGGGACCGGCCCAGGCATGGGGTGGGAAAGCCAGACATCGGCGATGCGTCGACCCGGCAGATCGGAGATGGCCCCCCACACATAGGAGGCCTCCGATAGATGCATCGACGATGCTCTGGTGATGCGGCGCCATCCTCCGGCCCCATCTTCTCAGACCCCATCTAGGCGGCCTAGACTCTAGCGAATCCGCAGGTTCCTGGAAGGGGTTGGGCTACCGGGCAGGAGAGCCCAGAATCGAATCGACAAGTCGGATCGGCGATCGCAATGAATCGCATCGGATCGGCGGACATCGGCGGCCGAGCCGGGAAGAGCCGAATCGGCAGACATCGGCACGCTAATATGCCTCAAAGAAGAGGCCGGATCCCGAATCGGAGTTTCGTGCCGAAATCGGAATCGGAATCGGAGGTCGTCGAAATCGAGATCGTCATCGGAATCGAGATCGTAATCGAAATCGAGGTCGAAATCGAAATCGGCTCGGAGGAACCGAAACGAGCCCTCGCCGGGCCCCCGTCGGCGACGGCCGGGCCGCGTGGGGTCGAAGCGCGCCCCCCGCTGAGCCCATGCCCCCCCTCCCCGCGTGGCCCGCGGCGGCCCCACGCCCCCGCACCGGCCACAACCCTGGGGGGGCCTCGGAGGAGCCCATCGCATCGACGATCCCTCCACTTCCTCCTCCCCCTCCTCTTCCTCCTCCTCCACTCCTCCTCCTCCTCCTCCTCCTCCTCCTCCTCCTCCTCCTCCTCCTCCTCCTCCTCCTCCTTCCTCCTCCTCCTCCTCCTCCTCCTCCTCCTCCTCTTAGAGTCCTCCTCCTCCTCCTACTCCTCCTCCACCTCTCAGAGTCCTCCTCCTCCTCCTCCTCCTCCTCCTCCTCCTCCTCCTCCTCCTCAGGCGTCGCCCGACGCCCGAGACTCCGGAATTGCAACCTCGGGGGACCTTGCATGTCCCGTAACGGCCCTATCCGTGTCGAGTCCGTGTCGGATGCATGTCGGGATCGCCGAATCCGTGTCGAGTGCGCGTCGGGATCCGCGCCAAACCCGCGTCGAGCCCGCGTTCAGCCCAAGAAGAAACCAATCCTGGGGACCGGCGAGGCCCCCCGAAGACGCAACGTAGAAAAAGGTGTCGAATCTGACGGGCCCCTCAGAACAGGGCGAGAACCACGGCTGCTGCCCCGGTCGTGGCTCGCCTGCCGCCCCCACTTCCTAACGGGAGCGCGAAAAGACAGCACAGGTGGGGAAGCTGAAGGGCGCACTGCTGCCGCGGCTCCGCGGACCTCTCCAGGGCAGCGTTCTGACCAGAACCAAGGGCTGAACCTGACTGGTGTGTTTCGCTTTCGTTTTCTTTTCGTTGTCCCTCGTTTTGTCTTCCGTCCGCCTTTCCCGCAAAACGAAGTCGAAACGAAAACGGCCCACGAAATCGCCAAAACACCGTTTAGGTCCAGCCCTGACCAGAACTTCGAGGAGCATCCAGCCGTGGCGACGAGATCCTCCAGTACGAGCAGCGGTATCGGTATCTTCCCAGACGTGCGATGTTCTGATTTTTTCGAGTGCGGGGTCCCCAGAAAACCCTGCCCTTTCCCCAAGACTAGTTTTTCATCCTGAGCTGTCTTTGTTGATCACGAGAAAACACCTCCCGTTATGATCTTTGTGAGGGCGCGAGCATGTTTCGGAAAGCCAGCCCTCCTGGGAGTTGGATCACCGCGGGGGGTGCTAGGTGGATAGGGGCTGTAAGGTGGATGCGAGATGGTTTATACCTGGCTTGACCTAGCAAATCAGTGGGTTAGCAACTCCCTACGATATGGGCTGAGTGGGCTGCTCCCATTTAGCGGAGTTATCGAACCCACCCAGGTCACCCAGGGCCTTGCAATCCACTTAGAAGCTAGGTTAGGCCAGATACGACTCACCTTAGCAACCACTTATAATCAACGATCCGCTGATATAGAAAAACAACAAGCGGGTAAACACAACCTTTCGACGGTCCGCGCGGACCGCCGACTGTTTATGTTTATGCAATTGTTCTGCTTCGAACCTTAACATCTACTTGCAACCCCCCTAACGCGTCTCTGGCGGCGCGCAGAGCGGGGTAGCGGAAGGGGTGAAGGCTTCTTAGAAGGAGGCTGCTTCTTAAAAGGCGCCGGCCCTACATCTACAGATAAGGCCTGCGGCTTCTAAGAAACAAGGGTGTTTCTAAGAAGCCGCCCCCCTACCCCTACCCCACTCTGTGCGTGGCTGACCCTATCGACCCCCCTATCCATTTAGCCACCGCCGCAGTTAGGGAACCCACAAAGGACGTACGCGCCCAATCACGTGCATGAATCCGCCGACCCTGTCGGCGTGTGGAAGACGCATCCCGGTGTCGTCGTCTTGCGTGGATCACCGTCGTCGTCGTCGTCATCGTCGTCGACCGAAATAAAAGGAA